TCGTTTATAGCCCAACATTAGCCTCCTTTAACTCTATTCCTGTTTAAGTGTTAATTATATTTCGTATCAATAATATAGTGAAAGTAAGCAATATACCTCTGAATTGTAGTACAAGTACAACATTTGAATACTCAAATAAAGTACACATACCTCAACATTTACTGAAGTAAGTACTTGAGTAACTCTATTAGTTACTTTACACCACTTAAATAAAATAATACAGGTTGTTATGTAGTTGTACTTAAGTGCAATTGTTTAGGTACTAAGTATTTCCTTTACTGCAACTTTATATTTCTACTAAATTACATTTAGAGGGAAATATGTAACTTTTTATTTCACTACATCTTTTACTTACAAATTAAGATGTGTTCATGTTTTGAAATGAATTAACCATAGGCAAATTGTTATACTGTTTCTTTAGGGATAAAGAATGATTGGCATTTATAATTTTTAATTAATGTACTGAGGCAGTAAAACATTGTAGTTAAGATATATCGTGCAGTTTTAGATTCCTGAAATAGGCTACACATTACAGTGAGGTTTTATAGTTTGAAGTTGTAATGTTAGCATTCATTTGTGTGTATTTATCTGTATTGTGGGTGTGTGCACTTCACCATGAAGAAATAAAAACACAACACAGCAGGATCTTAAACAAGTATGTATTGAATGATGGCTTACATATGCAAATTCAATTTCCAAGACGCTTGGCATACCTTTGTCCATTCTTTAACATTACGAGCCTGACATGTGTGACTAAAGCCTGCAGGACGCCTCTCTTTATTGGCTCACACAGCGGACTTTCCCAAGAGTTGTAAATATTGTTTTTATATTAACAACTCTGATAACAATCATTCAAATTTTGAATCCGACCAATTGCCTCTTTATTTAGTGACTCATGTCAATTACAAAATAAAACCATCTTATGTGTAGGGCTGCTGTTATGAAAAAAGCTTTGCTCTGTTTCTTAACTTACAAAAAGCCTACACCCTTCTTAAATCACACTTCACCACTTTACTCCTGTTAGGATAATGCATGAGGCGTATGATATGGCACAAAATAATCTTGATTTCAATATTTACCTGGAAGTTATTGTTTGATGATGACTTTGTGAGAGCCAGATTTATCAGCTGCACCATGCATGGACTTCACTAATGTAGAAAGACTGATTTAATGTCCCTGTGCAAGAACAACAACACAAAAACACAGCCCTATCCCCTGTCATGAGACCAGAATGGATTTGCATGCAAAACGATGAGATGAGCTTTACATGGAGAGATAATGCATGTCAATACATTTCTGTTTCAGTCATATGTCCATGTTACCATGAAAGACAATGTTATTTCCACATTAGAAATGCCACTTCTAATCATACAGTATATTATGCACAAAAAAATGGTGGTACGAAAACCAGAGAAAAATCTTCTGTGGCTCCAAAGAGAAAACAGAAAGAGATTTTAGAGAGCAAACCCCCAGCCTCGTCCTGCTATTTCCAATCAACGCTGCACTTTGACACATCTGAGTAATGAATTACAAAACAGCTCTCCAACACACACCACCACCTACCGAGAAAGTTGCATTTCCCGTATACACACAACTTTCCACGGATCCATTTAATATTTAACGGAGTCTTTCTCTACACCACATAATGTTTTATCATAGTCACCGCCACTGATGAGCAACTGTTTTTCAGTAAAGCTTTAAAAAGCAAGACTACCCTGAGAGAAGGTCTAAAACGTGGGCAAGCTTGCCAGACCAGAACTGGCTTGAATGGGTTTGGTTTATTAAATCTGTACACTCTATTTCAATATAATCAGCACATTTTGTTCCAAGAATGTAAGATATTATTCTTCTTTTTTTAGTAATTGTGTAATATATATCTCTACATAATACAATCCAAGTCCTCTGAACTATGTAGACATGTGCAAGTGTTTACTACCAACTTCAACGATACAGTAAAGGCAAAGACTTGTGGACACTAAAGTTAGGTTAATGTTGATATTTCAAATTTTTCTCTCAAGTCCTCACAATTATCAAAATCTAAGTGCTGTAAGTAGTTCATACACGAGGTATTGAATATCTAGTTAACTGAGTATAAAATAGAGGCAAAACACATAAAGAACATCTCGCAAGCATGACAAAAAAACTTCCACAGACACAATACACAAGTGGTCAAAGATAATATGAGGGGTACCTGTAACCTTGTGTGTCCTTGAATATAGTGTACTTACAGATTAGATTATGTTGATTAGAGGTCATCTGTATCATGCTCTCAGATCAATTCACAGCACTGTAGTGTTTCTCACGGCAGGTTTGCATATCAAACCGCCCCACATCGCAGTATTCTAGCTACAATAAATGACCCACATTTTTAAAAAGTGCACTCAATCAGGGTTGAGGAGGATCATATTATACACATATAATATTAGCTCACAGCAGCATGTTCTTTGTAAAAGACAGATTGTGTTCGTTAAAACTCGCTTCATGTTTTCGATCACGTCTGAGGCATGATACAGATCCGACCCCTCCATTGGTTCTAATAGAGTGGTGCAGGAATGAGTGCTTGAACCCAGAAATGACTATTAGCATTAGCATTTTACCGCTTCTCAGTCCCTCGTCTTGTTTTTAGAGTTTGTGTTTGGCTAGCTACCTAAAATGAAGGTCTGTGGTTAACACAAGCTGAATAGATTTCAGTAAATACCCACTGAATATGAATTTATAAAACAGCGGTTGCTAACAAGTGTCCAAATGAGACGACTAAACGTCATCAGGCCCAACATTAGCCACCTTTAGCTTAGCGGGGGCTTAGCGGTGGTGACGTGAAGTCATGTGACCGTGCTCTAGTTCGTTTATAGCCCAACATTAGCCTCCTTTAGTTTAGCGGTGGTGACGTGAAGTCATGTGACCGTGCTGTAGTTCCTTCATAGCCCAACATTAGCCTCCTTTAGCTTAGCGGTGGTGACGTGAAGTCATGTGACCGTGCTGTAGTTCCTTTATAGCCCAACATTAGCTTTTGGAGTTTACATCCGTGTATCCTGTCATGTGGTCATTCTGTAGTTTGTTTCTATCCAAACGTTAGCTTTTTACTTCTGGATATTGCATTCACTCTTTAACTATTATAAAAGTGGTGTTAATATGTGGAGATGATCCTGCTGAATAAAACGTGTAAGTATCATAAAAGTGTGTTTGCCACATAGAAGATTATCTGCAATAATCACATTTTGTTGAGGAAGGTCTAACATTTGAGTTAGCCTACACACATACGTCATCCCTGCACCACTCGATAAGTGTGTGTCATGTTTATGTATAAGAATGAAACACATGGTCATTGCATGATGTGCATCAACATAATCTGAGGTAAACCAGGTGTCCTGTTACAGTCTGAGAACCAGCGCCTTGGAGGGTCAGAGAGGTAAGTCTGAAAGAAACCGTGTAAACTGTGCTCGTGTAGTGAAGGTCTCACTGAAGCACAAGGGCCCTAAACTGTAAACCTCAAGGAGTATACAAAGAAAGAAAACAAAAACACTAAAAGTACTCTACTCATTAGATTCTCCTTTTTTCTTGTTTTTTGCAGGGTTTTCAACTTTTTTTTTCTCTTGTTTTCGCTCAAGTATAATCACAGGTGACTAACTACAGAGGATAACAGGGTCAGGTGAGTACCATGCTACATCAGGTTTAGAGAAGGCTATTGCAGACAATTCTACAACATGTACAACCACATTTTATACGTGTGAGTTACAAATAGTTCAAAACATATCACCAAGAAACTAAGTTACATACAAGATGTTGAGTATTTAGAGTCTTAAAGGACTATCCCTCAGTCAGTAGGATTTCATGTTACATGACTTAAACTGTCCCGTCTTACAGACAAAATCTGAAAAATTGCTATTCAAAAAGTAGCAAATTTGGTCAATGTCTCTTTTTCAAATAGTTATAGTGCTTTTAATGGCTTAAGACAGGGGTCTTTTTTTAATCTCACCCAGTGGCAATCTACAGAACTTCAGTGTACATTTTATGACACCATAGCTGCAAAAGTCTTCATGTCAAGTCCAATAGGTAAAACAACAGCTAGTGCTGTCACATATATCTCAAAGTAGTATGCATTATCAAAAGAAAAACAACAAATACACAATTATAAACTTTTTTTTTCTCAACTCTTTTAGTTCTTGCAGGGAATTCAGTTTAGCTTTTCCCGGTGAGTTTTCAGTCTTTTCAGGAGCCAGGCTCCACTCCGAGGAAGATTTAATTTGAGACCCCCTTGTGTGCCGCGAGGGTCATCCGTACTACATACAAGCAAAAAGACGTTGGTGGGGGGGTTTAATTAAAACTCCCACTCCAGTGTTTCTTCTCGATTGGCCGCCCTCTCTAACCTGTGGATGATGTTATTGAGGTTGGCCATTTTCTCGTTGCGTCTCTGACTGCTTCTGTTGACTTTGGGGCTTTGCAGCTGGCCGGGGTCCAGGCTGTGATTGGTGCTCGTGGAGGGGGGGTTGGGCGAGATGGGGGCGGAGGAGGAGGGGACGGGGGAGACGGACATCATGAGGCCGGGGGAGGACGCTGCGGACGGGGAGTTCAGGGAAACTTCCAAACTGCTGCGGCACGGCTCCGACGAAGCCTTGAAGCTCACCGGATCCACGGGGGACTTCCCAGACTCTTCCCCCCCTCCTTCATGCCTGGACTGGATGTTCCTCTGGGGGCCCTCAGCGTACAGACCCTGACCCGGGCTGCTCATCCCCTCCAGGTGAGGCTCCCGACATCCAGACATTGCATCCTCGTGCTCGCTTTTCAGCGGTGGGAACTGCACGGCGGTGGAGAAACACTGGACCCTGGAGGACTTCATCAGCTCACCTCCCTCTTCTTCCTGTTTGACGTGAGGCAGGGAGTTGTGGATGTGTCCTGAGGGGGGTCTCCGGTCCTCTCCTTCTGAGGGGGGGCTCCGTGTCGCTGAGGGAGAGTAGCTGTGAGGCTCAGCATCCATGTCGTTGTCTTGCAGACCCTCCATCAAAACCTCCCGTCGCATCCTGGACCTGCGCACAAAAAACTGCTGTTAGACTGTGATTGGTCAACCGCTTAGAGATGTCCCGCCCCTTAGCCTATCACAAACAATGTGTTGGAGCGCTAGCCAATAGGAGCCCCGAGTGTTACATAGTGATGTCATGTCTATGTTCCGGATGTAGCAAAATGACTCATGTACAATACTTAAAGGGGACCTATCATGCAAAATGCACTTTTGTACGTCTCTATACATGAATATGTGTCCCCGGTGTTCCAGGGAACTCACCAAGTGTCAGAAAACACAACCCTCTCTATTTTCCTCCATACCCAAATCTCTTAAAAAGGGGCTGCAACGGATCTGATACAGACTGATCCAGATTTGAACACTTCTATGACCTCACAGAAGTGGCGCTACGGCTATTGGGCCAACTCCACCAATCAGGAGGAGACAGCCACGGACATTGCCGTTGGAAAGCGCTGGAGACGCTGTAGTACATATGCCAGGCCTGTAGATGGTGCTGTTCTCACAGAATCAGCCCATGCAAAGACAGTGTTACATTGAGCGAAATGAGGAATGGCTAAAATGCATGATCTGTTTGGTATTTTGAAAAATAAAAAGTATAAATATGCCTTATATAGGTATGGTCCTACACTATATTATTCAAATATAGCATGATAGGTCCACTTTAATACATTTACTGTCCACAACTTTTGTAAAATACTGGGTTATTAGTAAGTACGTAGTGCAATGTGTTTGTACAGTTACATGTAAAAAAGTAAGTGTTGAATAAAAAGTAGTCGAGCAAAAAAGTATGACAAGTCTGTCAAAAATAGTACTTGAGTAAATGTACACTCCTAGTTTCAGTTTTACAGTGAGACAGCAGGAAAACGGTTGTGCGTGTCTGTGGTTGTGGATACTTGCGTACATTTACTAAGTTACTGTCCACAACTGTTGTAAAAGAATCAGTTGTTAGTAGTAGTGCATCACATAGTATAAAGCAGAAAATGTAGTGGAGTAGAAGTAAATGGAACTATTCAACTAAAGTACAGTACTTGAGTAACTGTACATTCCTAGTTGCAGTTTACAGTAAAACAATTGTTGTGCTTTTATTTAGGTCCTAATGTGTGCATATGTATAAATGTGGTCTGTTGATTGTGTATACAGTAAGGTATATACATTTGCATACATATTTTTATATATATTTGTTGTTTTCTGTATTCAGGATTGTAGGAAATGGTATTTCGATCTCTCTGTCTGTACACACAAACTGAAAGATGACAATAAAGTTGACTTTGACTTTGAACAGAGCTGGTTGGACGTGCCTGTAGTTGTGGAACCAGTTGATACGGGTGTTGGTCTTCAGGTGGAGCTGCGAGGCCAGGATCTCGATGGTGGTTCTGGGAGGGGTATGGCTCCGAGAGGTAGGCCTTCCTCAGCTCCTCCTCTCCTCAGCGCCAGCACCACTCGGATTTTCTTGGCCCTGGCTGTAGGGGGCAGAGGTTCCAGAGAGGCCAGCGCCGGGCTCACACACTCCGACCGGACGCGTCGGGGAGTCGCTGTCCGAACCCCGTGCTCAGCAGACCGTAACGCCTCTTCAGGTACGCTGAAGAGATACGATGATACTTTCATGGTCAGATCAAGTCTGAAATTTGACTTGCATCACAGCAGCTCCATGTGTAACATCAACATGGACAAATATCAAGAACATGAAAAACAAACAACACACATTTAACATAACAGAGAGAAAACCTGCTCAACGTACAAGAAAACCTCGAGGAGAGAAACAGAGGAGGGATCCTCTCCCAGGACGGACAGACGTGCAATAGATGCCCCTGTGTAAATATACATATTTCATAGCTCGTGCAGAACCACATCATGCACACACACACACAACACCTTTCTTCTCCATCTTCTTCATGCCCGCAGCTTGTCCCGTTGTGCGGGTCGTTGAGCCACAGCTGCATCCCGGACGAACGGCTCGCGGCCCTTCAGGCTCAGCTTGTGCCAGGGCTTTGGTCTGAGAGGCAGGTCGGACACGGAGCCTTGCGTCAGGCCCAGGACCGTCTCCCGACAGACTTCCACACCGAACAGACCTGGCCTGTGGAGCAGCTACCAACACACAGGCTAGCAAGAACACTACATGACAGCTACACACACACAAACACACCACACACACACACACACACACACACACACACACAACACACTACACACACACACCGTTCGTAGCAAGAACCTAAATGAACAAGTCTAACCCACAGCATAAACCAAGATACCAGTTTCAGGAACAAGAATTCTCATCTCTTTTTGTCCTGACCATTTCTATAAAACCTGTCTGAAAATGAAGCTGATCCGGATTTTGGCCACGTTGTGAATGTCATAAACGAATGTTTTAAGAAATCTTGTGTAAACTATTAGCCAATCAGCAAACCGAATGGGTAAGTTCTTTTTAGACCAAATCCTCTCAGGGGGCGTGGGGAGGGGCTCCTTATCATTCATCTAAAGTAACAGAACAGAGAATCGACACTTTGGAAACAGGGCATGAAACGAGGGAGATATGGAGTAATGCTGCAATGAACTGTTTGGATGTTTGCAGCCAAATCAGAGACAGGCTCTGAATATATCTGAGACCTGGTAATAATATTGATGAAAACAATATCAGGGGAGCTTTAAAACAGACCCATACGGACCAGGAAAAGACTAAAAATGACCACCGTGAAACATACAAAAATGAAAAATGACACTGAAAGACACTTACATGTACATAGGACTGACGGAAACAGGGGCCAACATAGTACAAAGCAACACACTTCCCGCTGCGATATTAAACTTTGTAAGAGGACACTTAGGATGGGAACTCAAAATGACACAGAAGCGAAGCATAAAAAGCCTTGAATCTTGAACCTACACCAGGTTGTTGTCGTCCACCTCTTCACCGTTCTTGGTGATGGTGTAGAGTGTCGAGCCTCCGAGGCGCTGCCACCAGACTCCTGGATGCCCAGCGGTGGGGCGGCTGCTGGGGGGCATGAGGCCGGGGGGGAGGCTTCCCCTCCGTCGGGGTGGGGGCAGCAGCGGCCCTCTGGCTGCTGGT